ATTTCCAATGTCATTTTCTCCAAATATATTAATTGTGCTTGTAAAATGTGTAATACCAATGAAGTGCAAAAATGGAATTCAAACCATTCTTTTCATTCATATTATTTTTTAAAGCAAAAATTGAATTTTCAAATTGATTTTAATTCTTTCACTTTAAATTACCCCAAATCCAAGTACATCATAACCACTTCAATCATCACTTTATGAGTCCGTCAATAACGCCTACCCGAAGCAGCCGTTGAGGAAAATATCATATTTAAAGCAATATGAGCTTTTTGAGAATTTTATTTTGCTTATAAAATGTGATTTTATGATAAATCTGTATGTAACTTAAATCTTTAATAAAATAAAGTATTAAATTGTTTCAGTACATTGGAATGTATTGTACTATATAAGAAATCAATATTCTACAGGACAACAATAATGTAATTTGGCTTAAAATTACAATTAGTTCTTCCTTCACAAATATAAAAAAAAAAAAATTTAAAAATTTCTTTTTTCTGTCATTGAAATAGTTACTTGCAACAAAAATTTCCGACATCAAAGTTGCAGCTCATATTGCTTTAAAGAAAGGTATTTATACCGCATTCTAAAATCTGACTTATCAAATAGACAGATCAGGGGATCCATGATTTAAGTGATGGATTTAGTCCAGCAACTCAAAATCTATAGCTATAAAGGTTTCCAGATCGATGGGAAGTTATAGATACAACTATTAAAATACTTTGCCTCAATGTAACGAGGGGGGTATATAAATGTAATAACAATTTTAACAAGCATTCTGAAAGTATTGCATTAGCAATACTAGTCCCCTACCGGCAACTGTAATCTGGTTCCCGTTAAGAATTGAAAATGCCATAATTCCTTCAAAAATCAATGAAGCGGGACGAAATGCAAACTTGATCTATAACTAATCAAAGTTAAGTCACATACCAAAATTCAGCTCAATATCTGAAAGCGTTAAGAAGAAAATTGCGGAAAACCCGTAAAATTGAAAAGGCCGTAATTCGGTCAAAAATCAATGAAGCGGAACGAAATGCAAACTTGATCTGTAACTTATCAAGATACATTCACATACCAAACATCAGCTCAATATCTGCAAGCGTTTAGGAAAAAAGTGCGGAAAACCAAGTGGGACAGACTGACAGACAGACAGAGGGACAGACGGACAGACAGACAGACGGACGGACAGACTCAGAGGAAACCTATAGTCCCCTCCGGTTTCACCGGTAGGGGACTAAAAATTATGGAAATGCCACTGGCTATATTTAATATGCAGCATTCTGTTTTAATTGGTGTTAATCCTCATTTTAGGAAGATTTCACTTATGACACCTTTATGGAAATAAATGCCTCCGCCACAAGCCCATCCGCGACTGAAGATTCATATACATGTATTTTAAAAATTAAAAAGTTTCTTAAACCGGTAAATACAGAAAAACGAATTTGTAAACTCAGGGACCAACCTACTAACCTAGACCCAAAATTTAAAGAGATATCACTTATCCTTCAGAGAAATTTAGGGAGAAGTTTTAAATTCTACGAAAACTTCTTAGCGCACATTGATCATTATTAGTCCCCTACCGGTGAAACCGGAGGGGACTATAGGTGTCCTCTGAGTCTGTCCGTCCGTCTGTCTGTCTGTCTCTCCCTCTGCCTGTCAGTCTGTCCCACTTGGTTTTCCGCACTTTTTTCCTAAACGCTTGCAGATATTGAGCTGATTTTTGGTTTGCGAGTGGATCTTCATGAGTTACAGATCAAGTTTGCATTTCGTTCCGCTTCATTGATTTTTGACGGAATTACGGCCTTTTCAATTTTTACGGGTTTTTCGCAATTTTCTTCTAAACGCTTGTAGATATTGAGCTAATTTTTGGTATATGGCTTTACCTTGATTAGTTATAGATCAAGTTTGCATTTCGTCTCGCTTCATTAATTTTTGACGGAATTATGGCATTTTCAATTCTTAACGGGAACCAGATTACACTTGCCGGTAGGGGACTAGTATTGCTAATGCAATACTCTCAGAATGCTTATTCAAACTTTAAAAAAATAAATGCATGTTAATGTATATACCTTAAATAGAATACTTAAAGAGGCAAAAATGTATATTTCAAAAAATAATAATTACTTGATATTTTCCAATTGCATGGCATATAAATGTCTGCCTGGAAAACAAAATTATACGTACATTGTCAACCTAAAGTTTTCAACTGTAGGAGGAGTAGCGTTTTAAAGGAATTTCACAGAAATTTCTATTTTTAGTAACCATGACAACACCGTTGACACTCTAAAATATATGTCTGCATTCAGAGCATGAATTAATCTTTTGACAATTAAAAATAGTCGAAATTCATCACCATCATCTTCGGTATGACATCGATAGAGGTCCAGCTGTTTTGCGTCTTGTTGTGTGTAACTTGTATGTTGTTTAACATCCCATTCGAGAATGTTTCACTCATATAGAGACGTCACCTTATGCCGGTGAAGAGCTTCAAATTTAGACCTATACTCGGCACTCAGGGCCATTGAGCAGTGAGGGTTCTTCATCGTGCCAACGCCCACCGTGACACGGTACCTCGGTTTTTAATGTCTCAACCGAAAGACCCGTGACTTTCACTTCTAGTGCCGGGCGCTTCGCGAAGGAACAGTCACTACCTATGTTTACGTCTTAGGTTTGACGCGGCGCGGCGAACGAGAATCGAACCCGGGCCTCCCGATCACGAAGCGAGCGCCCTACCACTAGGCTACCGTGACTGGTCTTGTAACAATGTACTTTTTAATATGCAGAAGCGTAAATTCTAGAGGAGTTCCGATCGAGTATTCGATGAAGTGGCCATTAGCAGCGAAATAGGTGCAAGCGCCCTGCTGTTATTCACCTATTTCAACAATGATAACACCGAACAGATTAATTATACAAAACAGTGACTATATTACCACGTGTTCCTAACAGATTTTTTAAAATGACTTACAAAACAGAGGAGGTGAAAATGTTAAACATCGCTTTTGTGATAATTTACGGTAAAGTTTTGAGCTCAATAGCGACTATTGCGCTTCAGTCGCCCTATGTTGATCTCCGAATTCATTTTACTGCATATTTCAAAGTAAGCAGAACGCCTCTTTAAGCTGGTTTTGTTTCAGGATTCTGTTCTCTCCCTTGCCTGCGATCGACGTTCAATACACATACTTGTAGGTCACGATCTGTGTCACAGCCATTTGCCTACATTTTACCCTCGCTAAAATCCCGCTTTCTCTCAAAAGGGAGGCGTATTCCAGTCGTAGTATAAACACAATTAACTACTAAAGTTATTAGAAAGAAGGTTTCAATACTGGAATGCAACGAAAAAATAATCATGGTGGCCGCCGATTTTGACCATGGCGCGTCTCGTTTACCCATGGCGCACATAACTTTAACCTTGGTGGGCCGCCATGCTCAACCCCGATATTTCATATGTACATTACCCTGACAAGACCTTTCCAAATGTACCATGATTTTTGACCCAGTGATTTTGACCTTGAATTTTGACGAACTTTTCAAAAATTTTAACATTGCTTATATCTCTTGAATGAGAAATTAAAGAGCATTCACATTTGACATGTCTATTACCTGTGACAAGACTTTTTCGAACATGCATTAATTGTTTTACCTCGTTACATTGGCCTTGAAGTTTGACCTGATTTTCAAAAATTTTAACATTGGTGATCACTTTTTAATGACAGAATGTAGGACGTTCATATTTGACAAGTGCATCCCCTGTGACAAAAAGTTTCTGAATGTGCTTTGAAATTTAATCCCGTTAACTTGACCTTTAAGTTTGACCTACTTTTCAAAAAATTTATCATTGCTGATAACTTTTGAAGGTAAAAAGATAGGGCATGCATATTTGACATATGCATTACCTATGACAAGACGGTACAAAATGTACTATGATTTTTAACCCCATGACCTTAACCTTGAACTTTTTCCAAAATTTTAACATTGCTGATAACTTTTGAATGGCAGAAGGTAGGGCAATTATACCTTACATGTGCATTACATTTTTCAGTACCTTTTCAAATGTACTGTTTATGACCTCGTGACATCTATCTTTAACTTTTTATTTTTATTTTTAACATTGGTAAGATCTTTTGAATGAGAGAAGGTACGGCTTTCATATTATACATGTACATGTTAAAATTTATAATTTTGATATTTAGTGTCACTTGTTTTTATCGACATGTTGTCAATCCGAGTTTCCTCCATTAGTTGGGAACGTTAAGATAACAAATAATCTTATACGAAAGATTGACACATTAACAGGCATTTCCCATAAACATTACCTTGTAAGTAATCTACTATTTATGTTATTCCGACATTATAAACAGTCGTATGATCTTCCAACTGACATAACTCCAATTCCCGCGGATCTTGCATCGTTTTTACTGCATCGAGATCGCTTAGCACAATAAACTTCCGGCGCAGATCTAATTTTAGCAACGAAATACGATATAAACAGTGTTCAGCTGTCATCTGGAGCATTCTGCTCAGCTGCCTCAACTGACGAGGACTAAAAAATTGGGAATATGGAAACCCAGAGCAGATGGGTAATTAATTAATTAATTTATTTATCCCAAATTAATTTATGAATATTGGGAACTGATGCCTGTTAATTAAAATTTATTTAATTTAAATAGTGTAACACTACACAGAAAATATTTTGGGTATTCCCACACTTGGGAAAAACTTGGGATATTAAAATCCCATTCTTATTGATTTATTGGAAATATTTGCTTTTATAATTTATTACCGCTCAATAATCCATTCTTGACAAAATAATTAATTGAATAAAAGTTGTTTACAAAAAGTTATTTGGTATTATATTTCTATCTAATATACAGACTTGGGAGACCCACAAGTTACAATCGCCTATTTCATAGCAAAAAGGGTGAAACGTAACATTGGTGTCAGAAGTGGGATCATTATAATTTAGAATCCCATACTTTGATTGGATAGAAAACAAATAGTTTAATATTTATTAAATTTTTTTTGACCCAATTTAAAAATTTTTTTTGTAAAAGAATTATTTCAAAGAAAAATGTCCCAAAATAACAGCAACTTTGAGGAATCTGGAGAAATTGTTTTTAATCGCAGATCTTGTATGGGATCACCCAGATTATCCATAGATGACCATGTTTTATTTTCTCCCAAACAGGCATCAGTGACCCATTAATCTGAAAACATAAATGAACAATTGTTTAATGCCACGCACGATATGAACAAAGAATTTTTATGCATGAAACATGAAGTTGGGCAACAAATAAATGAAGTAAGACAAGAATCCCAAAGATTATGGTCAGAAATTTACAAACTCAAACAAAAAGATGAAATAAGTAGAAAACCCACTTCCCAATCTCTGAATGGGTATAGGGAACCTATTGACCATCCAGATATGGGTATGCTCTGTGGAGCGAACATAGAAAATTTCAGTCCCATAACTACCCTTGGGAACTCAGAACTTATAGATCAAAATGAGAATACTTGTGTTTCTACCAGGCTAGCTAATGTGGCACCTGCATCAAAATCGCCCACTGGCATAAAACCCCAAATCTTTGACGGGAGAGATGACTTTGACGAATACTTGACAAAATTTAACATACTTGCTACACTCCATAATTGGGATCCTCAAACCAAAGCACTATGCCTTGCAAGTAGTTTAACAGGTGGGGCTAGAGCAGTTTTGACAGAGTTAAATGAATCCCAGCGACATAATTTTGATTCTTTAGTAAGGGCTTTAAATACCCGCTATGGATCTGTAGAACGGTCAGAAATGTATAGTGCTCAATTAAAGGGTTTAGTAAGGGGAAACAATGAATCTATTCCTGAACTTTCCCAATCAATAAGAAAACTGACATGAAGGGCATATCCAACAGCAGACCCAGCTGTGACAAACACTTTGGCTCTAGATCACTTTATCGACGCTCTAACAGATTCTGATATGCGCCTGCGATTGCGGGAAATGAGACCAAGGGACATCAATGAAGCCGAAATATTGGCAATCCAATTCGAAACCCACAAACTAGCTGACGCCCAAAGGACTCACTCAATTAACAATGTAAAAGCTACCCAAGAACAAGAATCAGATACTGTTGGGGCTATCAAGAAAGCTATAGGGGATGACTTACAAGAGAGATACAAAATTTTGTAAAGTTTAATCAGGGACAGCGAACCCATTTCAATAATCCCCCAAATCGACCTCCCTATATCGGAAATAGACCCAATCAATGTCAATCACTCACGACAAAATTTCACCCACAACAAGAATCCAACAAACTACCACACGTCGGGTTCGGGAGTCGGAAGTCGACAGAAATATGGGATAGACCCCAAGCGACATCATTAGAAAATAAAACAAATTGAAGCAAAGAGGCTAGTTCAGTCAGACTCAATGAAAAATTTGAATCTGAAGCTGAAATTCAATCTCCAATAAAGATTTACTCAAAAGAAATTAGAATAAATGACATTATGAAAGTTGGGAATGATGGAATTTATGTATTAGGGAAAATAGAAAACAAATTGATACCCATGTTATTGGATACTGGGGCTAGTGTGACAGTACTCAGCTCTAGTGTTGCCAGATACCTGGTAAAGATAAATTGACACCATCTTCTATCAATTTGACATCGGCAAATGGGCAGAATATTTTAGTTCAGGGGGAAATCCCATTAATTATAAGCTTGGGAAATGTTACTGTTACTCACAATGTGTTGGTAGCAGGTATCCTTAATGACTGTATATTAGGGATAGATTTTATGGCAACAAATAGTTGTGATATATTGCTTAAGAAAAGGAAATTGAAAATCAAGGGTACAGAGATCCCTTGCTTTAATATAGAAGAAATGAAAATCCCAGTTGGCAAAATAACAATTGCTGAGGATATAGAAATACGAGGGGTGATCAAAAAGTTCGCGAACTATCTCTATATTTAAAAAATCACAATTCAGATCAGAATGATATTTGGCACACATATAGTCATACGCATGTTCTATAAATAGCAGATATTAAATAATGTTTTCCTCCGTGTTTGTGACGTCACAATGTGAAAATGACGTCAGTATGTAGGTCACTTGTGACAAAAAAATGGTTGACTCAGTCGTACTCGAGCAACGAACGGCTGTAAAGTTTAACGTATAATCTCGGAAATTCCTTTGCAGTAGAATATGATAATTTGTATAAGGCTTATGAAGACAAAAAACTTACCAGAAGTTCAATCATTAATTGGATTGAATGTTTTAATGAAGGCAGGGAGATGGTTAAAAATGATGTTTGTTCTGTTGACCAGCGAAAGAAAGCCGATAAAAAGATGTGTCCTTAATTGAGCAATTTGTTTTGAAAGATCGCCAAGTTACAGTAAGAAAATAGTTGAATATCTGAGCAATAATATAATTATTAAATCCCTAAAATATCGTTTACTTTAGACTTTAAACATATGAGATATGAAAAAAAGAAAAGGCACCCAGGCTTTTTCACATTGAATAAACGACGCTATCGAGACAGAGGACTCGGATTGTAATGCTCACCATGGTAATTCTGGGAAGGGATATCCTTATCCACCCATCCTATTGCCGAGATTTGGCCATTTTTGACAGATGGTCTGTTCTTGTTATAAAAAATTACTTGCATGGTAAGAAATATAAGACTCTGAAAAATCTCTTAGCTTCTGTGAACAGACAGCTACGAAGCATGTCACGTGACCGCCTGGATCACGTGATTCGCGCATAAGCAGAATAATGGCAGATGTGCATTAAAATCGGGGAGGACTACTTTAAAAAATAATGAACATTGAAACCTCATTTTATTTCTTTTAAGAAAGTTATTCAATTTGTTCGCAAACTTTTTGATCACCCCTCGTACCTCCAAATAGTGAGTTAGTGGCATCTGGGAAAGTGGAAAACCCATTATTTCTTGGGGAAATTGCTATTGTAGAACCTATTACAAAATTTATTGAGAAGCATGAAGTGCTAATTCCCAAAACTTTGGTTAAGGTTAATACCGGGGAAAATATCCCTATACGTAACACCAATTTAAATGATCAAAGTATTAAGATCTATAAAGGGACTGTAGTTGCCAATATTGAAAAAGTTGAAGAAATGTATGAATCTTGTATACATTCCATAAATTCCCTTGACATTGACATCCAAAATGAAACCCATTTGCCAAAGCATTTAGAACAAATTGTGAAAAAACTTCCAAATTATTTGGATTCAAAACAAAAAGAAAAATTCATAGCCTTACTTAAGGAATTTCAAAATAGTTTTTCCAAAGATTCCTCTGACATGGGTCTGACTGTACTAGTAGAACACACTACAAATACGGGAAATGCTAAACCCATAAAGCAACCTCCCAGACGAATACCTCTTGCTAAATTTAAAGAAACACAAAAAGAAATCAATGATATGTTAGATAAAAAGATTATTGAGTCATCTGACAGTCCATGGAGTTCTCCCATAGTCCTTGTTAAGAAAAAGGATGGGACAATCCGGTTCTGTATAGATTACAGGAAACTGAACGACATAACAGTTATAGACAGTTATCCTATTCCCAGAATAGACACAACTTTGGATGCTTTATCTGTTTCAAAATGGTTTTCTACAGTTGACTTAAAAAGTGGGTACTGGCAAGTAAAAATGTCGCCAGATGATAAACCCAAAACTGCATTTTCAATTCCAGGAGGTGGTCATTGGCAATTTCTAAATATGCCGTTTGGACTTTGCAATGCTGGTGCCACATTTGAAAGGCTTATGGAAAAAGTTTTATCTAACATCATGAAAAATCTGCTTAGTATATTTAGATGACATCATTATTCTTTCAAAAACTTTTGATGAGCACATCGACAACCTTAGACAAGTTTTTACCAGATTAAAAGAAGCTAATTTGAAAATGAGTCCAAAGAAATGCACATTTTTACAAAAGGAAGTTTCATTCCTTGGGCATATTGTAAATGAACATGGGGTATCAACTGACCAATCAAAAATTGAGGCAGTAAAAAATTGGCCTATTCTTAAAAATGTAAGGGATGTAAGAAGTTTCCTGGGACTTTATTCCTATTACAGGAAATTTGTACACAGATTTGCAAACATTGCCAAACCTTTGCAAAAATTCTTATGTGAGCCAAGCTGTGAAGAATCATTCGAAAAATTAAAGACAGCTCTAATTAGCTCTGACATCTTAGCATTCCCAAATGATGAAGGTCTGTTCATCCTGGACACAGACGCCTCCAATACGGGTTTAGGATCAGTCCTCTCCCAAGAACAAGATAGGGTTGTCAAGGTCATAAGCTACTTTAGCAAAACATTTAGTTCAACTGAGCGACGCTATTGTGTAACCCGAAGAGAACTTTTAGCAATAGTGAAGTCAGTTAAAGATTTCCATCATTATCTATATGGGAAACATTTCAAGGTCAGAACTGATCATGGGTCATGGACATGGACCCGGAAGGTCAGCTAGCCCGATGGTTCGAATCACTGTCCTCCTATGACTTTAAGATTGAACATCGAGCAGGTCGAGCACATAACAATGCAGATGCCCTATCCCGTAGACCTTGTGTCGACCAAAATTGCAAACATTGCATAAGAGCTGAAGACAAAATATGGATCAGAAACTGTTGACAACATTAGTAATAAACATGTTAGAGCCATACCTGAATCATGCCAGGTTGTCACCCGATTGGGGAATCACAACACTGCTTTGACATCTACTTCTCAACATCCTACAAAACAGTCCTCTTTTCAAAATAAGAGTTTAGAAGAAGTACAAGAAAATGACCCTGATATTAAAAAGGTTATAGAGTGGGTTAAATCCCAAAATAAACCTTCTTGGGAAACTATATCAATTTTGAGTGAAACATGCAAATACTATTGGGTTAGATTTGATTCCCTCAAATGGCAAGACAACATTCTATACCATAAATGGTAATACATAACCCCAAAATTCCAAGTAATTCTTCCCAGCTCCTTTGCCAAAAAAAGTATTGGATGAAATCCATAGTGGCATTACTGGGGGACATTTGGGTTACAAAAAGACATTATCAAAAGCCAGAGATAAATATTTTTGGTATAAAATGTCTAATGACACTAAATATCACTGTCAAACTTGCGACACTTGTGCTTCAAGAAAATCTCCCAATAAGTTACCAAAAGCCCCCTAACAAATTTATAATGTTGGGGTACCAATGGAACGCTGGGCATTAGACATATTGGAACCACTTCCCATTACTCGTAAGAAAAATTCATACCTGTTAGTTGTAGGAGACTACTTTACAAAATGGGTCGATGCAATCCCCATGAAAAATAAAAAGGCTACTACAATATCCCAAAAATTATTGCAACATATAATACCTATCTTTGGAGTACCAATGCAATTGCACTCCGATCAAGGTCAGATGTTTGAGTCTACTATATTCCAAGAATTGTGTAAACTACTGGGAATAGGGAGGACCCGAACTTCGCCCTACAGACCCCAATCTGACGGGATGATTGAAAGAGCTAATTGAAAATATGTTGTCAGCTTTTGTTGATAAAAACCGGAAAAATTGGGATGAGTTTGTACCTTTACTCATGTTGGCGTGTAGATCCTCGGTACATGAATCCACAGGGGTGAGCCCAAATGAGATGGTCTTTGGTCGACAAGTTGCACTCCCTATTGATCTAGTACTTGGGAAACCTGACCCTGAAAGAAGCAACAGAATATATACAAAATTTATCAGAGAAAATGAACAAAATTTACAATTTTGCAAGGGGAAATATCAAATTAAATTCCCAGGGTATGATAAGACAGTAAAATACAAAAATCCAACATAATCCCTATAAAATAGGTGATGCAGTATGGGTATACTATCCTAACCAAAATCTGGGTTTAGAACGAAAGCTATCCAGACATTGGGCAGGACCATTCAGAATCAAAGAGAAAATAAATGACGTTCTCTACAAAATTCAAAGCACCCTAGACATAAAGGGGATGTAATTCACTTTAATAGATTGAAAATCTACAATGGGATAAATATTCCCAAATGGTTTCAAGCATAAAAATTCTACACTGTGATTATATATATATGTATAATACAGTATATATACAGTATATAGATTGACATATTGTTCAAAATTTGATTGACATATTATTCAAATTTTGATTGACATGATTTTACTGTTACTGTATTATTATTGCACATAATAATACCATGACATGGTTCCAAGGGAACTAAGAAAAAAATATTAGCTTCCACAGGTCCAGCGCTTTAAATGCTTACTTTGAAATGGGGGAGAATTCAAGAACCAGATACACGCAGACCGTAACCTGACTGCTACCCATTCGGGATTTGGATATCATTGCGATATCTGCCACTACATGTTGGGCCGGAAAGACCAAAAGCATGGGTGCAAAGGATACCACCTTCAACTACTAAAAAATCAAACATGAAATATGGTGATGAAGAACGAAAGGAATTTGCAGACTTCCAGAGGAAAAGATCCACCCTCGTAGAATCCTTTATGAAGGAAGTTGTCCCAAATTTCAATGCACCCCCGGGACCCAAAAGAACAATTTTTACCGAAGTTGTTATACCCACGAAGAAACAGAGTCGAAACCGTAACTAACAAAGGAGACAACCAAGATCAAAGGAGCCAAAATAGCCAGAAAGATGGGAACCCAACTATGCTACCTGATCCAAAACCAGCAGAACTGCCTCAGCCAAAACAAACAAAGCCAGAAACTTCAAGTTCCACAAAAGTGAAGAAAGCCTATAAGTCCAAATCTATCCTATCTTCCGTATCCTCATTCTCTTCCAGCTCGTCAGCTTCAAGTTCAAGTTCAGATTCAAGCTCCTCGTCTACCCATACATCAAAGAAAGAAGAGAATCAACCCAAAGACTTCCTATTGATTAATGTTCCTGAAGAAGAAGCGTATCAGATTCAAGAGGCAAAAGAAGTTCCATCGTACCTACCATCCAGTCAAATGGAAGTTAAGTTAAATATCTTGAAAGAACAACATGATGGCCGAGTGATTCTAAACGGTGGGTGGGGGGGGGGGGGGGGGTAGGAAATTTGAGACCAGCCGACGGACACTTTCCAGTGACCCATCCTCAATATTGTCTGCCATGATTAATCCCAACTCACCTTTCCAACCATCCAACAACACCTATTTCATTGACAGGAATCCCCGTTATTTTGATTTTGTCCTGGACTATTTGCGGTCGCCTAAAGCTTTCCTTCATATCCTGCCACTGGACTTCACAGTGCTGAGACAATTATATGTGGAAGGGAAATTCTATGGACTTTCTGGTTTGGTGTTTACCGTTGAAAAGAATGGTCAATCCCAGCCTCTGTGGAAAGAGAAGTAATTTGGACTGTGATAAACTGATATGTGATATGTTGTTGATTTGTATTTATATTTATTGTTGTTTAAATATGATGCCTATTGTTATTATAATTGTTATATGAAAGCATGTTAATAATGTTTTATTGTATAATATGTACCGAATATTTATAATAATGTTTAACATGACAAAGTAAATGAAAACATACTTATCGTTGACATCACTGAATTCTCTTCATTTCATTGGTTTGACGTAGTGCCCATTCGAGGACGAATGCCTTTTAGGAAGGGGGGCAGTGTTACAATTTAGAATTTTGATATTTAATGACACTTGTTTTTATCGACATGTTGTCAATCCGAGTTTCCTCCATTAGTTGGGAACGTTAAGGTAACAAATAATCTTATACGAAAGATTGACACAATAATAGGCATTTCCCATAAACATTACCTTGTAAGTAATCTACTATTTATGTTATTCCGACATTTTAAACAGTCATATGATCTTCCAACTGACATAACTCCAATTCCCGCGGATCTTGCATTGTTTTTACTGCATCGAGATCGCTTAGCACAATAAACTTCCGGCGCAGATCTAATTGCGGGAAAGGGGAGCGGATCGTACGTCATTTCTTTAGCAACGAAATACGATATAAACAGCGGTCAGCTGTCATCTGGAGCATTCTGCTCAGCTGCCTCAACTGACGAGGATTAAAAAATTGGGAATATGGAAACCCAGAGCAGATGGCTAATTAGTTAATTTATTTATCCCAAATTAATTTATGAATATTGGGAACTGATGCCTGTTAATTAAAATTTATTTAATTTAAAAGTTTAACACTACACAGAAAATATTTTGGGTATTCCCACACTTGGGAAAAACTTTATATGGGATATTAAAATCCCATTCTTATTGATTTATTGGAAATATTTGCTTTTATAATTTATTACCGCTCAATAATCCATTCTTGACAAAACAATTAATTGAATAAATGTTGTTTACAAAAAGTTATTTGGTATTATATTTCTATCTAATATACAGACTTGGGCCACCCACAAGTTACAATCGCCTATTTCATAGCAAAAATGGCGAAACGTAACATACATTACCTATGACAACACCTTTAAGAAATGTATATCGTTTTTGATTTCATGACCTTGATCTAGAAGTATGAAGGACACACTAAGACACCTAAAGCGGGAGGACCACAATTCGTTGTATTCGCATGTTTAGTGATGTATTGATTATACATTACGCCTTTGAAAATCTCTACTCATAGGCATTCAGAAGACGAAACACCAACCCCCGATTAAAACATTAAAATTCATCACCCCTGCCCCGTGGATCAGACGGGGGTAGTGGTAATTAAGTTTGTCATATATTGAGAATACATTAAATAATTGGAATCTTCATTTCCCATGGAGTAAGATTTATTACACATGTACATTGTACTGTGTGCCTTAATCTCTCTTCTACTGAACCTCGAAGAGACATGAACATGATAATAACTAGATGAGATCTCGTTGCGAGCAACGAGTGGGTCTTCCGTCCGATTTTTGATAAGATGAGATTAGAATTTGACTGAGATTTTCGTTCAAATATAATGATATAAATAAATTGTTTAGACGAACAATTTTGCTTTAATAATGTTTTACAAAATATTGATCATTAAAGGAATATAGATTAAAGACTTTCGCCCCTTCTTGGCCCCTAATGTGAGAGGTCAGCCCCTTTTTCTTGATATCATTTTAAAGCTCTCATGATTTTGAACACTTTTTGTTCATCAACAACTAGTCAGAAATTCTTTTTTGTTTTCGGGATATATTCAAAAGAAATATTAAAGGTCGGCCCTTCAAGTCCTAAATGGGGACGTCTAGCAAAAATTGAAAGAGTGCATATTGTTCAGAATAGTATTTTGATCGACTTTTGTTCAATACTGTTTATCAAAATATTCTTCCTTTTCGAGATATATTGCGCCATAGATTATGCAATCTGGCCCCCTAAAGACCCCTTACTGTGTAATATATGATATCAACATCATGTTATTTAGATAAAGTGTGTGAAGAAGAACTATTTCGCTTCAGTAATATATTACAAAATATTGATCATTAAAGAGTTATTGATTGTATACTTTCAGCCCCTTATTTAATGGGTCAGACCCTTTTCCTTGATATCACCGTAAAGCTCTCATGATTTTGAACACTTTTTGTTCAAGAATTATTCAAAAATTCTTTTTCGTTTCCGAGATATATCCGAAGGATATATTTAGGGGCCGGCCCTTCAACTCCTTAATGGGGACGTTTAGCAAAAATCAAAAGGTTGCATATCATATTGTTTAGAACATTATTTTGAATAACTTTTGTTCAATATACTTATCAAAATATTTCCCACTTTTGAGATATAAAGCATCAAAGATTTAGCATTCTGGCCCCTTATGGCCCCTAATTATGTAAATATGATGTGTATATCATAATATATAGTTGTGAATTGTTGAGATAAACATTTTTGTTTCAGTAATGCATTACAAAATATTGATCGTTAAAGAGTTATAGATGAAAGACTTTTGGCCCCTCTGAGCCCCTAATTTGAGGGGTCAGTCCCTTTTTCTTCATATCACTTTAAAGCTCTCCTGATTTTGAACACTTTTTGTTCAACAACTACTCAGAAATTCTTTTTCGTTTCTGAGATATTTGCAAAGGAAGTATTTAGGGGCCGGCCCTCCAACTCCTTAATGGGGACGTTTAGCAAAAAATGAAAGGTTGCATATTGTTTAGAACATTATTTTGAACATCTTTTGTTCAATATTGCTTATCAAAATATTTCCCACTTTCGAAATATAAAGCGTCAAAGATTTAGCATTCTGGCCCCTTATGGCCCCTAATTATGTAACATATGATGTGAATATCATAATATATAGTTGTAAATTGTTGAGATGAACATTTTTGCTTCAGTAATGCATTGCAAAATATTGATCGTTAAAGAGTTATTGTTCAAAGATTTTCGGCCCCTCTCAGCCCCTATTTTGAGGGTCCAGCCCCTTTTTCTTCATATCACTTTAAAGCTCTCCTAATTTTGAACACTTTTTGTTCAACAACTACTCAGAAATTCTTTTTCGTTCCTGAGATATTTGCAAAGGAAATATTTAGGGGCCGGCCCTTCAACTCCTTAATGGGGACGTTTAACAAAAAATGAAAGGTTGCATATTGTTTAGAACATTATTTTGAACATCTTTTGTTCAATATTTCTTACCAAAATATTTCCCACTTTTGAGATATAAAGCGTCAAAGTTTTAGCATTCTTGCCCCTTATGGCCCCTAATTATGTAACATATGATGTGAATATCACAATATATAGTTGTAAATGGTTGGGATAAACATTTTTGCTTCAGTAATGCATTACAAAATATTGATCGTTAAAGAGTTATTGATTAAAGACTTTTGGCCCTTCTCGGCCCCTAATGTGATGAGTCAGCCCTTTTTCTTTGATATCATATTAAAGATCTTGTAATTCTACGCAAATTCTGTTCAATATGTTTTAACAAAATACTTATAGTTAAAAAGTTATCGTAGGAAATGTCTCTAAAATTCACTCATGATTCGTGTCCTTAATTTCGACCCCTACCGAGCTTCCATACTAAACACTTCCGGAAAATTTGAAAACCCAGGTGATCAATGGCAACATGTCCTCTATCATCGCTGAAAGTATCAGCACTCTAGCTTTAATCGTTTTTGAGTTCCATTGCAGACAAGGAGGTCCTCTGAATTTTGATTAAAGGGCGATAACTTCCGACCGGAAGTGAATTTCAAAAAAATGAGAAAAACGTATAAGGTTCAGACAAAGATACATCTTCCCTGAAATTTTCAAGTAAATCGATCGAGCCAACTCCGAGATATCTTCTGCACAAAAATTGTAAAGAAAAAAAAGAATAATAATAATAACTAGATGAGATCTCGTTGCGAGCAACGAGTGGGTCTTCCGTCCGATTTTTGATAAGATAAGAATTTGACTGGGATTTTTGTTCAAATATAATAATATAAATAAATTGTTAAGACGAACAATTTTGCTTTAATAATGTTTAACAAAATATTGATCATTAAATTGTTATAGATTAAAGACTTTCAGCCGTTCTTGGCCCCTAATGTGAGAGGTCAGCCCCTTTTTCTTGATATCATCTTAAAGCTCTCATGATTTTGAACACTTTTTGTTCAACAACTATTCAGAAATTCTTTTTTGTTTTCGGGATATATGAAAAAGAAATATTAAGGGCCGGCCCTTCAAGTCCTAAATGGGGACGTCTAGCAAAAATTCAAAGAGTGCATATTGTTCAGAATATTATTTGAACGTCTTCTGTTCAATACTGTTTATCAGAATATCCTTCCTTTTCAAGACATATTGCGCCAAGGATTATGCAATTTGGCCCCCTAAAGACCCCTTTTTTCGTAACATATGATATCAACATCATGTTATTTAGATGAAGTGTGTGAAGAAGAACTATTTCGCTTCAGTAATATATTACAAAATATTGATCATTAAAGAGTTATTGATTGTATACTTTCGGCGCCTCTCGGCCCCTTATTTAAGGGGTCAGACCCTTTTCCTTGATATTACCTTAAAGCTCTTATGATTTTTTACACTTTTTTTCAACAACTAGTCAGAAATTCTTTTTCATTTCTGAGATATTCGCAAAAGAAGTATTTAGGGGCCGGCCCTTCAACTCCTTAATGGGGACGTTTAGCAAAAAATGAAAGGTTGCATCTTGTATAAAACATTATTTTGGACATCTTTTGTTCAATATTGCTTATCAAAATATTTCCCACTTTTGAGATATAAAGCGTCAAAGATTTAGCATTCTGGCCCCTTATGACCCCTAATTATGTAACATTTGATGTAAATATCATAATATATAGTCGTACATTGTTGAGATAAACATTTTTGCTATAGTAATGCATTACAAAATATTGATCGTTAAAGAGTTATTGTTCAAAGACTTTCAGCCCCTCTCAGCCCCTATTGTGAGGGTCCACCCCTTTTTCTTCATATCACTTTAAAGCTCTCATGATTTTGAACACTTTTTGTTCAACAACTAGTCAGAAATTCTTTTTCGTTTCTGAGATATTTGCAAAAGAAGTATTTAGGGGCCGGCCCTTCAACTCCTTAATGGGGACGTTTAGCAAAAAATGAAAGGTTGCATCTTGTTTAGAACATTATTTTGGACATCTTTTGTTCAATATTGCTTATCAAAATATTTCCCACTTTTGAGATATAAAGCGTCAAAGATTTAGCATTCTGGCCCCTTATGGCCCCTAATTATGTAACATTTGATGTAAATATCATAATATATAGTCGTACATTGTTGAGATACACATTTTTGCTTCAGTAATGCATTACAAAATATTGATCGTTAAAGAGTTATTGTTCAAAGACTTTCGGCCCCTCTCAGCCCCTATTGTGAGGGTCCAGCCCCTTTTTCTTCATATCACTTTAAAGCTCTCATGATTTTAAACACTTTTTGTTCAACAACTAGTCAGAAATTCTTTTTCGTTTCTGAGATATTTGCAAAAGAAGTATTTAGGGGCCGGCCCTTCAACTCCTTAATGGGGACGTTTAGCAAAAAATGAAAGGTTGCATCTTGTATAAAACATTATTTTGGACATCTTTTGTTCAATATTGCTTATCAAAATATT